AACAAAATCAATTTTAAACAAATCAGTTATTATTAATCTCATCGATTGATTGTGCGATCAATTGTCTCATCACTTCATAGTCGGGCTCCGCATAGAAATCCATTTCTCGACACATTTGTAGATAACGTAAAAAATTCTTCGGCAAACCTTAAGACAAACAATAAAACAATGAAATAATAAAACAATTGAATAAAAAGGAAATACCGTCACAAATGTCTTCAATGGATGTCTCTCTCACACACTTTCCAATGGCTTTGACATAAGTTTTCCATTGATTTGGATATCTCTTTATACAACTCCACGGAAGCGACCCCTTAAACAAATAGACCCAACAATAGGCCAGAGATTCCATGTCATCACGTCGTGAGCGTCTGATTCCGTTGTGATAATTCATTGAATGATTTATACCATTTGGAAAGCCCGCAAATCTGAGACTCGCGGCTATGCCCTACACGACTGGCAAAGGCAGGTTTATCGCAAAGCTAGCTAATTTCAGATAATATTTGTGAACACAGCTCAGAAGTCTGTCAACAAAGTTGTCGGGTTTGACGCCTCTATGAGTCAGACCTTTGCTGTGAATGTATTGCAAACAATCAATTTGTTGGACAGCGATTGGGATCAGCTGTTGAAGAGTTAGCGTTTGATCGCTAACCACTCGACAAGTCTTGGAGAACACGTTCGCGAACTTCTCGATCACAATCATTGCCATCGATAACACCAACCAGACCTCGCCTTCTTCTGTCCAACTGTTCCCCAATCAAAGACACTACAGATTAATAATGACATTACAAGTGATAATGAGTGTACCATTTGTGGTAATAGAGTCGCGGAACTCCTGCGCCGGTGCCCAACAACTTATAGCAGTGGATCTCATTCAACAACTTCTTGTACTCGGCCTTCACCGCGATCTTCGCCACCCGTTTGACGGACGGATCGGTGCAGTGATGGCAGACAAAGACCCAACACTGGCTGTTGGTCTTCAGGGGCTCCTCCAGAGTGTAACCATTGATTGTGTCACCAGTTTTAGGAGGAATTGTGGTCATCAGAGGGGGCTCTTCGTCGGGCATCGGGGGTGCGTTGGGACACAAATCACAGACACAGACAATAGACAAACAAAATAGTGATAACCGAAACCAGGGATCAGATGACAGCGCAAAACACACAGAAAAACAGCCACTTTTCAAACGCTGTGATCACGTGTTGTGTTGACTGTGTTTGTGGTCTCCATAGCGACCACACCTACAGTACAGTGCAATACACCCAACACTACAGTACAGCCAATAATATGGCCGACAAATGTGTGGACAAAACAACACATTAAATGTCATAACAAATGCCCGACAAATACATATAAATATGGTAAACCTTTCGGGCGTTTAGACTCTGAGCGCCGATACGGGATGTGCTGACCGTTTCCGTCCAAATAGCGTTTCGATCGATTAAAGTCTATTATAAACACTTGTGTCGAGTCTTCAGACATAACAAAGTTGTCCGGTTTGACGCCTCTATGAGTCAGACCTTTGCTGTGAATGTATTGCAAACAATCAATTTGTTGGACAGCGATTGGGATCAGTTGTTGAAGAGTTAGCGTTTGATCGCTAATCACTCGACAAGTCTTGGAGAATACGTTCGTGAACTTCTCGATCACAATCATTGCCATCGACAACACCAACCAGACCTCGCCTTCTTCTGTCCAACTGTTCCCAATAAAAGACATTACAGGTTAATAATCACATTACAGGTGATAATGAGTTTACCATTTGTGGTAATAGAGTCGCGGAACTCCTCCGCCGGTGCCCAACATCTTATAGCAGTGGATCTCATTCAACAACTTCTTGTACTCGGCCTTCACCGCAATCTTCGCCACCCGTTTGACAGACGGATCGGTGCAGTGATGGCAGACAAAGACCCAACACTGGCTGTTGGTCTTCAGGGGCTCCTCCAGAGTGTAGCCATTGATTGTGTCACCAGTTTTAGGAGGAATTGTGGTCATCAGAGGGGGCTCTTCGTCGGGCATCGGGGGTGTGTTGGGACGCAACTCACAGACAAAGACAATAGACAAACAAAATATAGTGATAACCAAAACCAGGGATCAGATGACAGCGCAAAACACACAGAAAAACAGCCACTTTTCAAACGCTGTGATCACGTGTTGTGTTGTGTTTGTGGTTCCCATAGCGACCACACCTACAGTACAGTGCAATACACCCAACACTACAGTACAGCCAATAATATGGCCGACAAATGTGTGGACAAAACAACACATTAAATGTCATAACAAATGCCCGACAAATACATACCACTCGTCACCTGATTGTCGTCGACTGGCGTTATTGTCTTCGGCCGCCGATTGTCCCATAAGTGGCGCCATTTGTCACCGCATAATGTCTTCGCAACAGGAAGTGATCGAAAGGGTGACTCTCAGCGACGCCTTAAGCAATGTGGACGTCTTGGATGAGCTCGAGTTACCCGACTCTCAGCCATGCATTGCCGGTCAGTAGAGGACACACGAGTCGGTCGGTTGAGGCGGACACCGATGGCTGCCAATCGACGGCAGCGATTGGTTGGACGCGGCGAGTGGTTTGTCGGCGACGCCCAACAAACGCCTCCCCGATTCCGACCGGCGTTTCAAACTCTTTGATTATCATTGAATGCGATCCTAATGTCTTGTGTTGTGTCTTTAGGCGAGAACTGGTCGGTCGTATATCACGTGAACTTCGACACCAACTTCGAGGACCGGAACGCGTTTGTATGCGGTGTCGCCAAATACATAGAAGAGGCCACAGTTCAGTGCCATCTCAATGTCATGTTAGATGAGGGTATGTGTCCGCACATGCAGTCAGTCGCGCCCATCCCTATCATCACTTCATTAGATCCTCTGTTATTAACGTTGTTTACGCGTCTCTCTCTCTCTTGAATCTTCAGGTGAATCTCACGCCGTAATGCTCTACACGTGGAGGTGTTGCTCGCGAGCCATACCGCAGCCAAAGTCCAACGAACAGCCGAATCGGGTGGAGATCTACGAGAAGACGGTGGAAGTGTTGGGCCCCGAAGTGGACAAACTGTTGGCGTTCATGTATTTCCAGCGGAACGCCATCGAGAGGTTCTGCAGCGAAGTGCGGCGTTTGTGTCACACGTCGAACGCCGGCCTCTCAGCCGACGGCTCTCAGAAGAAGGCGAACGCGACGTTTGTCTCCGAAGCCTATCTCTTGACATTAGGTTTGCGGCGATATTAATGTGCGAAACATTGATAATAACGTTGTATTTGTGAAAATTAAGGTAAATTCATAAACATGTTCGCCGTATTGGATGAGCTGAAGAACATGAAGTCGTCGGTGAAGAACGATTACGCCACTTACAGACGCGCCGCGCAGTTCCTGAAGGTGTTGTCCGACTCGCAGAGTCTTCAGGAGTCGCAGAATCTGTCGATGTTTCTGGCGATGCAGAACAAGATCCGCGATTCGCTCAAAGAGTCGCTCGAGAAGATCAACGGCTACGAAGAGCTCTTCTGCGATATCGTCAGCCTTTTCACCACAATGTATGAGAACAAGCTCTACGTATTGCCCGCCGAGAAGCATATGCTCGTCAAAGTCATAGGCTTTGCGCTCTTCTTGATGGACAGCAAGTCGTGTAATATCAACAAATTGGACGCCAAGAAGCGCATCAATTTGGCCCGAATTGACCGCATATTCAAGTCGCTGGAAATGGTGCCACTGTTTGGCGATATGCAGATCGCGCCCTTCCAGACGTACATCAAGAAGTCGCCGCATTACGACCCGACCAAATGGCCGCTCAGCGCCAACACCACCACACCGTCGCCGCAGTGCGACATTCTTCAGTACGTGCCCGCCATCCGCGACGAGTACGTGTCCTTCATATCGGAACTGTCGCGCCATTCAAACGAAGTGACCACTACTATAAAGGAGACCCCGAGGACTGACTCCGAGAACAAACAGTTGTTACAACTCGCTCTCAAAGGTAACCCAATCGAGTGGTTGTGTTGTATATTCATTGATCACTCATTTGATTGTTTTCCCGATTGAATAGGTATTCAATTGTTGGCCGACTGGACGACACACGTGACGGAACTGTATTCGTGGAAACTGATGCACCCGACGGATCACCACCAGAACAAACAGTGCCCGATGGAGGCCGAAGAGTACGAGAGAGCGACCCGTTATAACTATAACGACGAGGAGAAGACGGCGCTCATTGAGTTGATAGCGATGGTGAAGGGATTGCAAGTCCTGATGAACCGAATGGAAACAGTATTCACGGATGCAATCAGACGAGCCATTTATGCAGACCTTCAAGACTTTGTACAAATCACTTTACGGGAACCGTTGCGCAAAGCGGTCAAAAACAAGAAGGACGTCGTCCGCACTATGATATCGTCGGTCAGGGATACCTGCGCTGACTATATGAAGGGCTTCGAGGATCCGTTGTCTAAAAGTGTGTAAACCAATGGGTTTTGTGGATGAAAATTGTGGTTAACTTTGAATTATTGTCTACTATTTTAGGTTCAAAGTCGACGCTCTCGTCGGCGGATATGGAGGTGAAGGTTCCGCGAAGGAATGTCGGGCCCTCATCGACACAACTCTATATGGTTAGGACTCAATTGGAATCGTTGATTAGTGATAAAGCGCTGTCCGGCCGGCGGACACTTCGCAAAGACATTGACGGCACTTACTTAGTGGCCATCGATAACTTCCATAAGAACTCCTTCTATTGGACGTATCTCTTGAATTTTAGCCGTAATTTGATTTTAATTATTTTTGTTGTTGTGTTTTATTTAATAAATTGTTTGCTTAACTGTTGTGTGATTTGACAGAAACGCTGCGCGAATGCTGTGATTTGTCTCAGCTCTGGTACCGTGAGTTCTATCTGGAGATGACAATGGGAAAGAGGATTCAGGTCTGTGTCCACTACTTTACTAATTAAACTGTTGTTTTAAATGTTGTGTTGTGTTGTGTCGAGTGTTGTCTTAATTGTTTACGCGTCCCAATCGGTGGTCCAATTGTGTGGTCAATACAATTGTGTAAATTATATCTGAATTAATGCTTACATTTTGCTTATAGTGTGCTGTAAAACACGTCCACTCAGACCTCTGTAAAGATATTATGTCATTGGAAAAGCGAACACAGGTTTATATGATATATATTTTCATTGATTGGTTACTAACGGTTTGGTTCAACTAATCATAAAAAATTTTTTAATACAATTATCTCCACATTTGATTACTGCATGAATGGAGTCAATGAATGAATGCATGAATTGATTTTTAGTTTTTAAATTTACCATAATTTTTGTATGATATGAGCGCTAATTGTTTGTACAAATTTAGTTCCCGATTGAGATGTCGTTGCCATGGATTCTAACGGATCAGATCTTGAAGACAAAGGACCCCTCACTGATGGAGTGAGTAGTTTGAATGGATGCATGGGTTGAGCGCTTGTAATTGACTGATATGTGTTTCAGATGTGTATTATTCCCATTGGATTTATACAACGATTCAGCGCATTATGCTTTGACTAAATTCAAGAAACAGTTCCTCTACGACGAGGTCGAGGCGGAGGTGAACCTCTGTTTCGATCAGTTTGTGTACAAATTATCCGAACAAATATTCGCTTATTATAAACATTTGGCCGGAAGTATACTTCTGGACAAGAGGTTCCGCTCTGAAGCGGCCGCACTCAACATTAAGTTTGTGTGGCCTCAGGCCAACCGATACGACACTCTACTCAAACAGAGACACCTCCAACTGCTCGGCCGTACCATCGATTTGAATCGTTTAATAGCCCAACGGCTGAACGCGTCGATGCTTAAGAGCTTAGAACTGGCCATAAGTCGCTTCGAGGGGTCCGACTTGACCGCAATCATAGAATTGGAGTCTTTAATCAATTTGAATAAATTGGCGCATAAATTGCTTTGCAAAAACATTGATCTCGGTATGCATTCCTGCCCTACAAAACACACTATCATTTCATATCATTTTGTTGTCGACTATTAGACTCGTTTGACGCCCTGTTTCGTGAGGCCAACCATAACGTGTCCGCTCCGTACGGACGCATAACTCTACACGTGTTTTGGGAATTGAATTACGATTTTCTACTCACGTATTGCTTCAACTCTTCGACCCAACGGTTCATCAAAATGCCGGAAAAGGCGCCGAATCTGACGCCACACCTGAACAATGTTCAGCGGGAGAAGCAATCAAACGCACATCAATCCCAACTGCCGTACTATCTCTACGGCACGAAAGCGCTCAACTTGGCGTATATGAACATTCACTCACTCAACAACGGCTTCATCGGTGCCCCGCATTTCCGGTCCATCTGTCGACTGCTGGGCTATCAGGGAATCGCTGTCGTCATTGAAGAGTTGCTGAAGATTATCAAAAGCCTTCTGCAGGGAACCATTGCTCAATACGTGAAGACACTGATGACAGTGATGCCCAAACTCTGCAAACTGCCGCTCTATGACTACGGCTCGACCGGTGTGCTCGAGTACTATCAGGCGCAGCTCCGGGACATCATTCAGTACCCGGACGTCAAGACCGAGATGTTTCAGAGCTTTCGCGAGATCGGCAACGCGTTGCTCTTCTGTCTGCTCATCGAACAGGCACTGGTAGGCACTCACTCTACAGTACAACTCACTGTTAAACACCCCATACTTTAGATTTGAAGTATTAATATGTGTTGTGTTTTTTTGTTGCTGAATATCAGTCTCAGGAGGAGGTGTGCGATCTGTTAGAGGCGGCGCCCTTTCAGAACATTTTGCCCCGAATTTACTGCAAAGATGGAGAGAAACCGGAGACTAAACTCAAACGATTGGAAGCCAAATATATGCCGCTTCAGGTCGTGCCCAACATTGAGAGATACGGAACGCCCAAAGTATGTCCACAAACTCATTGTGTTGTGACCAGTGATGTGATAGTAATTGATGATTGATTTTGTGGTGTAAAGCAAGCGGCGATCGCACGCGAGGGCGACCTCTTGACCAAAGAGCGACTTTGTTGCGGTCTATCCATATTTGAGACGATTCTGCAGCGGATCCGTGGCTTTATGCTGGAGAGCGAAGAGCAGGCGTCCATATGGATCGGTTCCAACCGAATGCCTCCACCCAATGGTGTCATATATGTGGACGAGTGCATTGAGTTTCACCGGCTCTGGTCTGCCCTTCAGTTCATTTACTGCATTCCTGTCGGCGACGGAGAGTTCACTATTGAAGAGCTCTTTGGCGAAGGGCTCAACTGGTCCGGCGCTGTGATGATCGCTCTGTTGGGTCAGCACAAGCGCTTCGAAGCTCTAGATTTCAGTTATCATTTGCTAAAAGTACAAAGAGTTGACGGAAAGGATGAGATTGTCAGAGGAATTGTTAGTATATTTTGTTACTGATTATGAAATTTGTGGTTTTAATGAATGCATTGTTTGTTTTTGTATAGCCATTGAAGCGAATGGTGGATCGGATCCGACGCTTCCAAGTGTTGAATTCGCAGATATTTTCGATATTAAGCAAATTCTTGACGAACGCCAACGGAGACGCCAATACTGTTGAACACGTCAAGTGCTTCCAACCACCCATACATCCAGCTATGGCTGCGGCACAGGGTTTGTACATATTTTGATCATGTGTTTTGTTTAATTGTTTTTGTCAAATGACTCTTTTTTCTTTTACATTCCTTTATATTTATTGCAATTTTATGTGTTTTTAAAAGCAGTGAATTCAGCGCCCATTTATATGAGAGCAGCGATTCTTCTGCAACAACAGCAGCGCTTGAAGGAGTGATTCACAACACCTACTGTTCCCCCAAAGCTTTGCCACCTTTTATGATGATTATTATTATTTTATTGATATTATAATTAATATATATTTTCGCATAATTTTTAAATATTTCCATTTTTGTATTTTTAACCCTTTTTGTTGATTATTGCCTTAAATTTATTTTTAACTTTTACTTAACTTTTCATTTCAATTATTTATTCAATCAGTTCTTTAGATAATGTAATGTTTTTTATAAATATTTTGATTAATCTTTTGTGCATTTATTTCAAAGTATTTGTTGTCTAATACTTTGATTCACTTATAAAGTCTATTCTGTTTCCGTTGTTATACTTAAACCCAAATTAGTTTCAATTAATATATGGATTGAAAAGTGAATCTTATTATCTCTAGTAGTCCTCTAAACAGCGCTTTAAGTCTTTGAAAACTTATTTATTTATTAATTATTATTGAATTAATAATGATTTTTGTAAAATTAGTTGATAATTATGTAAATCATTTTTATAACATTCTGTATAAGAAAACCAAATATAAGTAAACTTTTTGCCAATTCCTTTATATTTATTGCAATTTTATGTGTTTTTAAAAGCAGTGAATTCAGCGCCCATTTATATGAGAGCAGCGATTCTTCTGCAACAACAGCAGCGCTTGAAGGAGTGATTCACAACACCTACTGTTTCCCCAAAGCTTTGCCACCTTTTATGATGATTATTATTATTTTATTGATATTATAATTAATATATATTTTCGCATAATTTTTAAATATTTTCCATTTTTGTATTTTTAACCCTTTTTGTTGATTATTGCCTTAAATTTATTTTTAACTTTTACTTAACTTTTCATTTCAATTATTTATTTGATCAGTTCTTTAGATAATGTAATGTTTTTTATAAATATTTTGATTAATCTTTTGTGCATTTATTTCAAAGTATTTGTTGTCTAATACTTTGATTCGCTTATAAAGTCTATTCTGTTTCCGTTGTTATACTTAAACCCAAATTAGTTTCAATTAATATATGGATTGAAAAGTGAATCTTATTATCTCTAGTAGTCCTCTAAACAGCGCTTTAAGTCTTTGAAAACTTATTTATTTATTAATTATTATTGAATTAATAATGATTTTTGTAAAATTAGTTGATAATTATGTAAATCATTTTTATAACATTCTGTATAAGAAAACCAAATATAAGTAAACTTTTTGCCAAATTTTTACTTTGTTTTTAAAATGAGAAATCAGTAATAATAACATTAATGCGAACGCATTTTTAATTGCATTTAAAATAACATATATATGAATGAGAATTAATTAAAAACAATAAACTGTTTGTAAATTTTTATTTTATTATTAAAAACTTTTTATTGATTATATTTGCAATGTTTTGTATTTAATGAACAAAATTGTTTGAAATGTTGAGTTCGTATTGAGAGATGCAATAAAATTATAATTTTAATGATTGGTTGTGTGGATAGGGTGACCAGAAATTTTTAGGAAATTGGAGGACATTAGCTAAAAATTCAATATCTAGCGGAGGACGAACGGAGGACACTATGTTTTTTGTTAGAAATGCTAATGTTATAGTAAATGTGGTGCGATATTCTTTATTATAACTTTAAACTGTGTTCATCATAGACGATAATACAGATCTTAGATAAAATGAGCTCAAATCAAACCTACTTTAAGAAGTACATAAATTACCAATTTATATTAAACGTATTTATTTAAAATATAGTTATAGCATAAAGACAACGTTTTAAATTATTGAACGGTAACATATTTTAGAAATAATAGAAACTAAGAAAATATATTTGTAAGATATTTGTAAGATAATATTTTAATATAATATATTCCTAAAACCCGTAACGGAGGACAAAGTATAGTCCTCCGGAAGGTCTCCGGAGGACTGTACATAAAATGGTCAAATGGAGGACAATCCTCCGTAACGGAGGACGTCTGGTCACCCTATGTGTGGACACAAATATGTGAACATAATTTTTATTAACGACAACACCTTTTGATTAGTGTTTAGTATAAATTGATTTATAGATTCAATGGGCAGATGAGAGAGAGAGAGAGAG